CTTCTTCCTTGCTGAGCGGCCTTTCAAGTTATGTCGATATAGGACTTGTTTTACTGTAGATATAGATATTTTTGTACCTGTTTCCTCCAGCATCTTCACAAGGTCCTTTGCTGTTGTTCTGGGATTGATTTGCACTTTTCGCACCAAAGTACGTTCATCTCTAGGAGACAGAACGCGTCTCCTTCCTGAGCTTTATGACGGCTGCGTGGTCCCATGGTGTCTATACTGTCGTAGAAATATTTGACTCAAAAGTAGTCAACTCAAAAATATCTCTCAAGAGACTGGAGCTTGTGAATACAAAAATTAGACTTTATTATTTGCGTGACAAAGTCGAGCCACTCCATGGAACGGCTGTCTCTCTTTGACTCAGAGATCTCTTTTATACACACCCAAATGCACAGTTATGTATACATATCTGATACAGCTACTCCCCTTAAGACAACTGATTAACATATTTAACTGCCACGCCACTATTATCTTTCAAAGTCCAATAACACATGTTGTTTACTCCAAAAGGCCATGGGCGCTTTTGCCTCTTTCCCTTATCTCATTATATTGGTGGCATGCCTCAGACACTTAAAAATAATATACATACATTCATTAAAGCATGTTTACACACTGTATTGGCTATATCCCTTATTTAGACATGCATCTGGATTATAAAATGTCAATCATGTTTACTATATTTTACCTTTGACATTTCCCACATTTTCCTTAATGATACATAAAATATTACCATAATACTTGCATACTATTGTTTGTACATATGAATGTGGTACCTTCAGGCGTTTGGAAAATGCTCCCAAGGATGAACCAGACTTGTGGAGGTCAAACATTTGTTTCTGAGGTCTTGGCTGATTTCTTTTGATTTTCCCATGATGTCAAGCAAAGAGGCACTGAGTTTGAAGGTAGGCCTTGAAATACATCCACAGGTACACCTCCAATTGACTTTAATTATGTCAATTAGCCTATCAGAAGCTTCTAAAGCCATGACATCATTTTCTGGAATTTTCCAAGCTGTTTAAAGGCACAGTCAACTTAGTGTATGTAAACTTCTGACCCACTGGAATTGTGATACAGTGAATTATAAGTGAAATAATCTGTCTGTAAACAATTGTTGGAAAAATTACTTGTGTCATGCACAAAGTAGATGTCCTAACCGACTTGCCAAAACTATAGTTTGTTAACAAGACATTTGTGGAGTGGTTGAGTAACGAGTTTTAATGACTCCAACTTAAGTGAATGTAAACTTCCGACTTCAACTGTAGCTTAGTACTACTTTCTTACCTTATTGTTACCCGTATGTTCAACTGAGCATCAATCATCAAACAGGAAGACAGTGATTCTGTTTATTTTACAGAATGTGGCTGGCCACTCAGACATTTAACAAGCAACTCTAAAGCCTCAAACTATGTCCAATAGTTTTTATTTTTCTCGAAGTATTACTTTATTAACACCGATATATATACTACACCCACCTCTATATGTATTTGACAGTGAAGCTACACTTTTACATTTAGCTCTATACTCCAGCTTTTCGATTTGAGATCAAATATTTCATATGCGACAACAGTACAGAACGTCACCTTTTATTTGAAGGTATTTTCATACATATCTGTTTTACCGTTTAGAAAGTAAGCACTTTGTGTATCTAGTCCCCGTTTGAAGAAGTCATGTATTTGGACAAATTCATTTATAATGTACTAAAGTGGTCAGAAAGTTTAGTATTTGGTCCAATATTCCTAGCGCGCAAACCTGTTGGATGCATTTGCTGTTTGTTTTGGTTGTGTTTTGTGTTATGTTTTGCCCAACAGGAACTGAATGGTGAATGATGGCTGGAGTAATTTTCTTTCTAAGTGAGTAGATAAGATGTTTTTTGAACACTTCTAAATGAATCCTGATGATAATGCCATAATTAAGAACAATCATGAATTAATCATGAATAATGATGAGTGAGAAGGTTACAGACACGGCTGCACTCCCAGGTACATATTTATTGGGGAAACACTTGAATGTATGAAACGTACATCCTGTGTGACTTGTACGTGCTCTTAATACAGAATTTGAACGAATCACTGATCAATGATTGTTGTACCACCTCCAGAACACCAGCCTTCTGAACACTAAAGAAGATGCTGGAGGCTGACATGGTGCAAGTGCAGGAGGAGGTGGACAACACCGTCCAGGAGGCCAGGAACGCAGAGGAGAAGGCAAAGAAGGCCATCACTGATGTAAGTCCTCATAATATGTGACCTATTCCAGTGTTCCTGCCCTCATCACGCCAATCCTGTTAATCTACATTCCACGCTCACCTGGAGAGGATGAAGAAGAACCTGGAAGCTACAGTCAAGGACCTGCAGCATCATCTGGCTGAGGCTGAGAACCTGGCCATGAAGGGTGGCAAGAAGCAGCTACAGAAACTGGACTCCAGGGTGATTTAGCAGGGACTCATTCTGAAGAATGAGATGGATGCCAAGCAGAAGAGAGGTGGCGATGCCGTCAAGGGAGTCCGCAAAAATTAGCACAGGGTCAAGGAGCTCACTTACTGTACCATGTAAGAGGGACACACCATCATAAACCCTTAACCAAGACCGGTGTTTGTAGTGTGGATCTGATTGTGGGCAGTGATACATGGATGTTCTCCCCCCAGACTGAGGAGGATAAGAAGAACATCAATAGACTTCAGGACCTGGTGGACAAGCTGGAGCTGAAGGTCAAGGCCTACAAGAGAGGTGGAGGAATCTGTGAGTAACAAAACTTCTGAGACCATATCTGGAAGTTCTGTCTGACTGTTCTAATGTTGGGCTGTCCTGATAAACCCCTGGTGTTGTTCCTTTATCCCCTAACCCAGGAAGAACAAGCCAACCAGCACATTTCCAAGTTCCGTAAGGTTCAGCATGAACTGAAGGACACTGAGGAGCACGCTGACATTGCTAAGTCCCAGGTCAACAAACTCAGGGCCAAGACCCACGACTCCAGAAAGGTACAGAGCTTCTGATCAACACACACTTGAACCATGTCCAATTTCCACAGCGGTAAATAAATATAATTCAAGTTGACCAACAAAGGTAAATTGAAATGTTGGCTATGCAGAATATGTTAAGAATGAAAAACTGTTATTTTCTTTCATGATACAGGGCAAGGCAGAAGAGTAAACAACACAATTGCTGTACAGAAGAGTTCCTATGTCTCATAAAATATGATTTTCATAGTGGAATTCTGAGCATTAAATAAATGAATGAGAACTATTGAGTTGTGGTGTTATGTTTTGAATCTACTGGACTGCTAGTGTGGCAGTGTCTAGCTACCTCTGTAAAAAATAAAAATGACTATCTTTTGGAACTTCATTTTGAGAAATTGGGAGGGATAATATGTGCTCCCTTGCTCCGGAATGCATCTTCAAACTACCCAGGACATCTAGAGCTTTGTCATCTGTGTCATAATGTATGACAATGGCATCATTTCAGCTTAAATGTGGCAGACTGAAGTCATATCAAGACAAAAAAGTGTGATACGCATGAAAATATGCTTAATCTGACGCATTCGATTAGTGAACATTAATAAAGTATGAAGAAAGCATCAATACAGCATTTATAATGCATATATAAAGCATGAAGAAAGCATTTTCCAATTGTTTTGCTTACAATGGTCAGACTCAGTAGAAAACATACAAAACATTATTTTAAATACTTTATTCATCAAATGTCTTTTGTCTCCAGTACAATAGGTGAATGTTGAACTGCACAGGATGATGTACAGTAGTGGGACTGTACTGGAGGACCCAGGCTAGGATCAGACTTAGTAGGTGGCCATGGTGCTGGTCAGCCAGTCGTTGAAGATGCACACCTGGAGGAAGAGAAGGAGAAGGGAGATATTAGTAGACACAGGGCCAAGTTACTGTAGACCTGGGATAAATTTGGTATTATTGAAGTTAGAAACATATAGTTGTGACAGGGATGAACCAACGGTCTAATAAAGGAATGCTGTCACACAAACCCATTATAGTATTTATTTGAAACTACATGATGCTTTATCCCACAAACGTAGCAGCAGAAGCCTATATTCTTACCTTGGCGTAGACACCGGGGTTACCGGGCTCAGCACACCCATATCCCCAGGACACAACACCCTGCAGCTCACTGTTGCACACCACGGGGCCACCGGAGTCACCCTGAGAGAGAGAGAATGAGAGATTTACTTCACTGTTTCTCTGTACTGTATTTTTGGTCCTAATATAATAATAATATAATATGCCATTTAGCATTCGCTTTTATCCAAAGCGACTTACAGTCATGCGTGCATACATTTATTTTGTGTATGGGTGGTCCCGGGGATCGAACCCACTACCTTGGCGTTACAAGCACCGTGCTCTACCAGCTGAGCTACAGAGGACCACATAGTTTTGATAGTTTTGATAAGCTGGTCAGAGGCAGTAGTAGAGCAGGACTAGCCTCTACAGGTCAGTGCTGTTCAGTACCTGGCAAGAGTCCTTGCCTCCCTCCAGGAATCCAGTGCAGAATATGGCATTAGTGATCTGACCAGGGTAGGAGTTGCTCTCAAATAGAATATGTGATATAATATGACGTTTCCAATACAAGGATGTTCAAATTGAGAATTCCTAGTAACAGTTTAAAAGGTTAAAGGGATAGTTCAACCAAATTACTAATACATTGCCAGGACTGAGGGTAGCGAGCAGTTCATCTCTTCTTCCCGCGTCATCCCCCACCCCAACTACAGCTCCTACAACATCAACAATGACATCATGCTGATCAAGCTGAGCAAGCCCGCCACCCTCAACACCTACGTGCAGCCTGTTGCTCTGCCCACCAGCTGGGCCCCCGCTGGCACCAAGTGTGTCGTCTCTGGATGGGGAAACACCATGAGCTCCAGTGAGTACAGCACCAACGTCAATACTTTCATGTATTTTGGGGCTATGTTATAAAATATACTTGGTCTAGTAACCATTGCCAGTGTTCAGATGTAAATTATACATAATTGACATGTTCTGCCTTTCACTCCCCCTTCTTTCTTTCTATCCATTCTTTCATTTCTCATCCATCCTTACAGCCGCCGATAGCGACAAGCTGCAGTGCCTGAACCTCCCCATCCTGTCTTTCAACGACTGTGACAACTCCTACCCTGGTCAGATCACTAATGCCATGTTCTGCGCTGGATTCCTGGAGGGAGGCAAGGACTCTTGCCAGGTACTGAACAGCACTGACCTGTAGAGGCAAGTCCTGCTCTACTACTGCCTCTGACCAGCTTATCAAAACTATTAGGACCAAAAATACAGTACAGAGAAACAGTGAAGTAAATCTCTCATTCTCTCTCTCTCAGGGTGACTCCGGTGGCCCCGTGGTGTGCAACGGTGAGCTGCAGGGTGTTGTGTCCTGGGGATATGGGTGTGCTGAGCCCGGTAACCCCGGTGTCTACGCCAAGGTAAGAATATAGGCTTCTGCTGCTATGTTTGTGGGTTAAAGCATCATGTAATTTCAAATAAATACTATAATGGGTTTGTGTGACAGCATTCCTTTATTAGACCACTGGTTCATCCCTGTCACAACTACATGTTTCTAACTTCAATAATACCAACTTTATCCCAGGTCTACAGTAACTTGGCCCTGTGTCCACTGATGTCTCCCTTCTCCTTCTCTTCCTCCAGGTGTGCATCTTCAACAACTGGCTGACCAGCAACATGGCTCATTACGCTCAAATCGAAAAATAATTAAACGAAATAATGAAGATTTATATCATCCTACTCGAGTTATAAATTACGGCGGAGGGGCAGATTCCGGGTCGAGAGCCAGACCCGATCCCCCGGTACAAAGACGGGGGCCTCACTGCGGTGGCGGTCAGCGTTGGCCTTCTGACGACGCACGGCGCGCTGGAGGTGAACGTGGGCAGCATCCCACGTCTCCTCCGCACGCCGAAACCAGTCATCCACCGCAGGAGCCTCGGTCTTGCTCTGGTGCCACGGTGCCAGAACCGGGTGTTAACCTAGAACACACTGGAAAGGCATTAGGTTAGTGGAGGAGTGGTGGAGAGAGTTCTGGGCATATTCTGCCCATGGCAAGAACACCGACCACACCCCCGGCCAGTCCTGGCAGTAGGACCGCAGGAACCTACCCACGTCCTGATTTACCCGTTCCACCTGCCCATTACTCTCGGGGTGGAACCCAAAGGTCAGGCTGACCGAGACCCCCAGACGTTCCATGAACGCCTTCCAGACCTTGGACATGAACTGGGGACCTCGGTCAGACACTATATCCTCTGGTACCCCGTGGTGCTGGAAGATGTGTGTAAACAGGGCCTCCGCAGTTTGCAGAGCAGTGGGGAGACCGGGCAGAGGAAGGAGGCAGCAGGCTTTAAAAAAGCGGTCCACAACGACCAGGATGGTGGTGTTATCTTGGGAGAGGGGAAGATCAGTTAGAAAATCAACACTTAGGTGAGACCATTGTCATTGTGGAACTGGTAAAGGTTGTAACTTACCAGCTGGGAGGTGCCTAGGTGCCTTACTCTGGGCGCACACTGAGCAGGAGGAGACATACACCCTCATGTCCTTAGCCAAGGTAGGCCACCAGTATTTTCCAGCCGATACCTGGGTGACGTGTGTGCCCAGTAGATCAGACGATCAAGGATAAGAGCAGGCACGTACTGTAGCCCATCTGGACACTGAGGTGGAGAAGGATCCATGCGTAATGCCTGCTCTATATCCGCGTCCGTCACCCATACTACCGGCGCCACAATGCAGGAGGCCGGCAGTATGGGAGCGTTGTCGCTGGGCCTCTCCTCTGTGTCATACAGCCAGGACAGTGTGTCTGCCTTCACGTTCTTCGTACCAGGGATGTATGACAGTGTAAAAGTATGACAGTGTATTCTTCCGGGTGAAGAATAGGGCCCACCTGGCCTGGCGAGGATTCAGCCTCCTCGCTGCCCGGATGTACTCCAGGTTACAGTGGTCCGTCCAGACGAGGAAAGGGTGTCTTGCCCCCTCGAGCCAATGCCTCCACACGGTCAAGGCTCGGACAACAGCCAACAGCTCCCGATCACCAACGTCGTAGTTCTGCTCCGCCGGGCTGAGCTTCTTCGAGAAGAACACACAGGGGCGGAGCTTGGGTGGCGTACCCGAGCATTGAGACAGGACAGCTCCTATCACAACCTCAGACGCATCCACCTCCACTACGAACGGTAGTGATGGATCGGGGTGGGCCAGTACTGGGGCTGAGGTGAACAGACCCTGCAGTTTGCTGAAGGTGTCGTAGAAATATTTGACTCAAAAGTAGTCAACTCAAAATATCTCTCAAAAGACTGAAGTTTGTGAATCCAAAAATTAGACATGTATTATTTGCATAACAAAGCCGAGCTTGCTCCATGGAGCAACTGCTTGCCCTGAACCGGAGCTGTCCTTTTATACAGACACAAATGCATAGTCAACATACATAGTTACTCCTCTCTATGTGAATGAATAACATATTTTCATTATCACATGTTGGCTACTCACAGGGGCTACTTGCGCTTCTCTAAATGGGGCCTCTGTATCTTATTAGTGGCGTGATTCAAAAAATTATGTACATACGTACATTAAAGAACAATCACACTCTGTATTGACTATATTCACTATCCAGACATATATCTGAAGTACAAAGTATTAATCATGTTCATTCTGTTTTACCTTTATCATTTCATAACACATTATAAAACATGTCAATTAATACTTAAACATGGTTTAAACATGTCATCCATAACCCATTCTCAACCACATACATTTAAGCATTTATCATTTACCATCCTCCCTGGCCCTTGAGATTATGTGCATGTGGCTATGTGTCAGGTCATAAGCACAAACAAATGATAACACTAGTTCCATTGTTACTCCAATCTCCACACAGCCACCATGAGGAGTTGTATCTCCATCACATGTCATTGACATACCCAGACCAGCTGCAGGGAGTTATGAAAAACACATAAATGTCTCTGCTCTGTATCAAGCCTTCAACTGGTTCTCAATCCATAAACATTTTAAGGCATATAGGTGTTTAATTCTACAACATATGTACTTGAAAATCATCTATAAAGGCCAGGTCAGCCTCAGCAGACCAGCGGAGCTGGGACGGCCCACCCTTCAACAGGGATGTAATGGGAGCTGCGACCTTGCCAAAGCCCCGGGTAAACCTCCAATAGTAGTTGGCAAAGCCAAGGAAACGCTGCACCTCCTTAACCGTGGTTGGAGTCGGCCAATTACGCACGGCTAAAATGCGATCTCCCGCCATCTCCACACCTGAGGTGGAAATGCGGTATCCAAGGAAGGAGACGGACTGCTGGAAAAACATACACTTCTCTGCCTTAGCATAAAGGTCATTTTCTAAAAGTCGGGCCAGCACCTTGCGAACCAGGGACACATGCTCGGCGCGAGTAGCGGAATACACCAGGATGTCATCGATGTAGACCACTACACCGCGACCAAGCATGTCCCGAAACACCTTGTTCACAAAGTACTGGAAAACTGAGGGAGCATTCATCAAACCATAGGGCATCACCAGGTATTCATAATGCCCCGTGGTTGTGCTGAATGCTGTCTTCCACTCATCTCCCTCTCGGATACGCACCAGGTTGTATGCACTCCTGAGATCTAATTTGGTGAAGAAGCGCGCCCCATGCATTGATTCAATCACTGAAGGAATGAGGGGGAGAGGATAACTAAATCTTATCGTCTCCCTGTTCAGTGGTCAATAATCAATGCACAGGCGCAGACCTCCGTCCTTCTTCTTCACAAAGAAGAAACTTGAGGAGGCGGGTGAAGTGGAGGGACGTATATACCCCTGGTGCAGGGACTCGGTGACATACGTTTCCATAGCCACCGTTTCAGCCTGTGACAGGGGGTATATATGACTCCTGGGAGGTACAGCGTCTACCCGGAGGTTTATCGTGCAATCCCCCGCCCGTTGAGGTGGTAATTTAGTTGCCTGCGTTTTAGAGAACGCTTGCGCCAGATCGAGGTATTCAGGGGGAATGCGCATGGTGGAGGTACTGTCTGGACTTTCCACCATGGTTGCACCAACGGAAACACCTAGACACCTACCCTGACACTCTCGCGACCACCCCGCGAGAACCCTCTGTGGCCATGAGAAGGTGGGGTTGTGGAGTGCTATCCAAGGGATACCAAATACCACAGGGAAAGCAGGAGACTCAATAATGGAAAAAGTAACCTGCTCACAATGAGTCTCCTGGGTAATCATGGTGACTGGTGCAGTAACTTCCTTAACCAACCCTGGATAGGGGAATCAATGGAATGCCTATACGGTGTGCGAATGCCCTGTCCATAATGTTCCCAGCTGCGCCTGAATCGACTAGCGCCTTACACTGGGGAACTACCATGTGCTCAGGAAAGGAGACAAGTATTTTACAGTGCGCAGCAGAGGGCTCTGAACGAGTGTGGGTGTTCGATACCTGGGGTGATGCGAGACTGCCCTGCCTGTCGCCTCCAAACCCAGAAGAGCGTTGACGACAAAGTGTGGTGAAATGTCCCTTCGCGCCACCAGTGTGGCACTCCGCTCTCTCGGCTAGCGGTTCCACCCATCTCCATCGGTTCTGGGTCCGAGTCGGCCGGGATGGAAATGGGCAGACCTCCTCCAGGACGTCCTCTGGTTGCCAGCAGGTTGTCCAAATGAATGGCCATGTCCACCAGTTGTGAGAAGGACAACATGGTGTCACGGCAGGCTAGCTCCCATCGGACGTCCTCTCTCAGATGGCACCGGAACTGGTCAATCAGGGCCCGCTCGTTCCACCTGGACCCAGAGTTCAAAACTCCAATGCGAGGTCCTGCGCAGTCCTCGTCCCCTGCCTCAGGTGGACCAGCCGCTCGCCCGCCTCTCGACCCTCAGGCGGGTGATCGAAGACCGCCCGGAAGAGGCGAGCGAACTCCCCGTAGTTCTCCAACGCGGCTCCTCCTTCGTTCCACACTGCGTTGGCCACTCCAGGGCTTTCCCCGAGAAGCAGGAGACTAGGGCAGACACCTTCTCCCACTCCGATGGAACCGGCCGGATGCTGGAGAAGTAGAGCTGCAGTTGGAGAAGGAATCCTTGGCACAGCGCCGCTGTCCCGTCGAACTCCCGTGGTCGGGATATCTGGATCCCTCCGGGTGCTGGGGTGTAGGTGGCGGGATCCGGATGACCAGCTGGTCTCGACGGATCGGGCTCTCTCCTCTCCAGGCGTTGGACGACCTGAAGAACCCGACCCATCGCTTCACCCAAGCTGGCTAGCATAGTTGAATGCTCCTGGACCCGTTCCACGACTCCAGGCATGCGCGTCTCTCCCGCTGACTCCATAACGGGGTGGTGTTGAAGGATTCAGGCGCAGGAGGGTAAATCACAGAATAACAGGCTTTAATCTGCAAAATACAGGTTTACGCAGAAATGCGTCAAACACACTCCAGAGCACAAAACAGGCGCACTGGAAAATACAAGGCACACGGGAAATACTCCCATCGATACAAAATACACGAGCTCCACTGAGCTTCACTAACCTCCACAATAAACAATCACCCACACAGACAAGGAAGCAGAGGGAACACTTATACCATGACTAATGAGGGAATAAGGACCAGGTGTGTGTGATTGAAGACAAGACAAATGGAGTGATGATAAATGGATCAGCAGTAGCTAGTAAGCCAGTGACGCCGAACGCAGAAACCTGCCCGAAACAAGGAGGGGAGGCAGCCTCGGCGGAAGTCGTGACAGTTATTGACTGTACGTTTTGTTTATTCCATATGTAACTCTGTGTTGTTGTTGTTTTTATCGAACTGCTTTGCTTTATCTTGGCCAGGTCGCAGTTGTAAAAATTACGGAAGCATAACCCCATAAAACACAGAACTAATGTTGCCACTTATTAATTTATGGAAAATGTGAATATGTCTATGACGTTTCAATATAAAGAGGTTTGTGGTGAGAAATAATTTATCTTAACAGTTTACAAGGTTAAAGGGATAGTTCACCCAAATTAAGAATGAACATAATCCTAATGATTTGTAGAGAGAGTAGTCTGTGCAGTGAGAGAATCTGTACTCTGTGGAGCCAGAGAATCAGCAACCCAAGTTTTGTTTGATATGCTCCCACGTAGCATATTTGATAGCCAAAAATAAATGGGACTGGTAGGACCCCCCGTTAACATGCTCTAAATGGCAACTGAAGATCAATACTTTCTTGACATTATCAGCATACATTGTGTATTAGGACTTATCCTTCAGAGTTTATTGAAGCCTTAAAACTACCTATAGTACATTAGAACTGCTTAAGCTGTTATAATTACAGCATTTTTAAACCAACACAATGTAGACATTCCACTTGCAAACAACACTCCTTTGATGACATACAGAAAAAAATATTGCACTACTACATTCATGAATATGTGCTCTATGCTGCATGCATGCAAGAAGTACCTTCTACAGTATATTCATTTTTATATTTAACCTTGGGAAATAGACACAGTAAACTTAAATTATGTTAAATGCTTTATTTGCCATTAGTATTTAATCTCCAGTACATAAGGTGGATGTTGAACTGCCCAGGATGTGGTAGAGTTGTGGGACCGTACTGGAGGATCGAAGCTAGGATCAGACTTAGTAGGTGGCCATGGTGCTGGTCAGCCAGTCGTTGAAGATGCACACCTGGAGGAAGAGAAGGAGAAGGGAGACATTAGTGGACACTCAATGGGAGGCAACATGAGAACCATCAATCTATGTTTTATAGACTCAATGCCTTTTTCTTTCAGGAAACCAAGGGATGTCACAATGATGTATGAATGTTGATGTGTTCCTCAAACACAAAAGGAAAACTGTTTTTCTGTCTTACCTTGGCGTAGACACCGGGGTTACCGGGCTCGGCACAGCCGTAACCCCAGGACACAACACCCTGGAGCTCACCGTTGCACACCACGGGGCCACCGGAGTCACCCTGAGAGAGAGAGAGAGAGAGATAGATAGAGATAGATAAAGAGAGAGAGAGAGAAAGAGAGAGAAAGATTGAGAGATTGAGAGAGAGAGGAAGGGAGAGGGAGAGGGAGAGAGAGAGAAAGAAGGGAGGTAAGGGATATCAATTTCATTATCAATTTCTAATCAATTTAAAAAGTCAATTTGAAGTCATCATTGTGGTACCACTGAATTGAGGTCAGAGTGGTAAGTACCTGGCAAGAGTCCTTGCCTCCCTCCAGGTATCCAGCACAAAACATGGCGTTGGTGATCATGCCAGGGTAGGAGTTGTTACAGTCACTGTAGGACAGGATGGGGATGTTCAGGCACTGAAGCTTGTTCTTGTCAGCGGCTGTAAGGAGAAGGAGAAAGAGGGAGGGAGGGAGAGAGGGAGGGAGGGAGTTATGGTTAGAAATAATGAAGTTGTGTTTTTAACAGTAGGCCTACGTTTTCCATGCCTCTACACACTCGGCCACCATGAAGATAACCAACTGGCACATGTAACCTTTGACCCAGGTTCTGTACTCACTGGAGCTCATGGTGTTGCCCCATCCAGAAACGGTGCACATGGTGCCAGCGGGGGCACAGCTACTGGGCAGAGCAACAGGCTGCACGTAGGTGTTGAGGGTGGCGGGCTTGCTCAGCTTGATCAGCATGATGTCATTGTCGATGTTGTAGGAGCTGTAGTTGGGGTGACGGATCACACGGGAAGAAGAGATGAACTGCTCGCTACCCTCAGTCACCTTGATGTTGTGCTCGCCCAGACGCACCTCCACACGGCTGAAAGAGAAAGAGAGACAGTTCATGTGAATGTGGAGTTCACTTGTCTCCTTTAGTTTTGCAAAAGGTAAGCTTATCAAATTGTTGCTAGTTGTTTTTGAATCAATATGTTGCTAGTAGTTCATATGGTAGGCTACTTACGATTGGTAGCAGTGAGCAGCAGACACAACCCAGTTCTCGTTGACCAGGGAGCCACCACAGAAGTGGTACCCAACGTTCAGAGACACCTGGTGGGGCTGGGAGTAGGCCTTGCACTCATACCCTCCGACGATCTTGTCATCCTCCGTGGCGACTGTAAACAGAGAGCAGGCACATTCTTAGCTATATTACCTCACCTTTTGAGATGGAAAAGCATAGCACTATGATAAAACAACAATAACATATTTCTTAATAACGTCAAAGAAACAAATGTGTGATGTTAGTGTCATAACACAGTCCTGTTATTTTTTCTATGATCATTACTAGACTCACAAGCGGCTCCAATGAGCAGAACAAAGACCAGAGAAATCATGGTTGCTGTATGATCCTGTCGATGAAAGGGGTTAATCTGCACCCCTGTTATATATGCAGAATCGTCTGTGCCGCTGTTTGATTGGTCAAAAGAAAGCCAATCAGAGCCAAAAGTTGCACTGCCAAGGTCAGCATTATGACACAGCAGTTTCCATCATGGAGTGGTATGAAGTTGACCATACAGTCAGCATAAAGTTAAATATATAAGTTTTCATTAGTCCCAGTACTTTTAAGTGCAGGTTATTGCCGTCTGGATTTGATTGAATTTCTTACAGTAGAAAGTGATACATGTACAGTATGCTACAACTGCCAGTTTGAGATGACCAGTGTTCTCTGCAGTTCAGACTGTATCTTGACCTCAACAGGACTGCAAAACAGCTGTGTGGTTCACACGTTAGTATTATCTTGGAGAAGTCGACAAACACAGCTTTTCCGCCAATTTTAGCTTTCTAAACAAGTAAACTGGGTTTAAGGGGTTTTGTTGGAAAGTCATACAAGGCTGTAGAAAAATAGACTCTGTTTACCTTACATGGCCATGAGTTCATTGCATAAGTTCATGTTCATGTATGTCGCTCTGGATAAGAGCGTCTGCTAAATGACTAAAATGTAAAATGTAATGTAAAATAAGTTGTATAATCATAAGGTCCTCCAAAAATCATTATACTGATTGCAGTTAATATACAGTAAAACACTCAAAGTAAGCCCACACTTGGGTAGTGTAATTTATTATATTAGGTATTAACAGAAGATTCAAATAAACAGTTGTACCTTGACCGTAGATTAAAGTCTACACCACAGCTCAACCCTAACATTACCCAAAACCCTCAACCCTAACCCTACCTTCATGTCCATGTCCCATCTCAACCCGAACCCTAGCCTCAACCCTAACCCTTGCATCTTGTCCACATTCCTGCTCAACCCAAACTCTAACCCTCAACCCTAACGCTAACCCTAGCTTCATGTCCACATCACGACTCAACCCTAACCCTTAACCCTAACATCATGTCCACATCCCAGCTCAACCCTAACCTCAAACCTAACCGTAGCTTCATGTACACATCACGACTCAACCCTAACCCTTAACCCTAACATCATGTCCACATCCCAGCTCAACCCTAACCCTAGCCTGATATGTTTACCAACCTCAATTCGAAATGTTATTGTTGAGTGGAGATATTGAGTTAAGTAAGAATAATATATTTATTAATCTCTCAAAATAACAAGTGTACCCAACTCAAAAATAAAAAACGTATCCAACTCATAATAATTAAATCAATCGATCAATCTGTTTACCCAACTCAATATAAACATTTAACTTACTCATAATAAGATATTTTGGCTCAACCATAACTCATGTCAGAAATGTTATAAATTGATTTGCATTTTAATGAGGGAAATAAGTATTTGACCCCTCTGCAAAACATGACTTAGTACTTGGTGGCAAAACCCTTGTTGGCAATCACAGAGATCAGACGTTTCTTGTAGTTGGCCATCAGGTTTGCACACATCTGAGGAGGGATTTTGTCCCACTTCTCTTTGCAGATCTTCTCCAAGTCATTAAGGTTTCGAGGCTGACGTTTGGCAACTCGAACCTTCAGCTCCCTCCACAGATTTTCTATGGGATTAAGGTCTGAAGACTGGCTAGGCCACTCCAGGACCTTCATGTGCTTCTTCTTGAGCCACCCCTTTGTTGCCTTGGCCGTGTGTTTTGTGTCATTGTCATGCTGGAATACCCATCCATGACCCATTTTCAATGCCTTGGCTGAGGGAAGGAGGTTCTCACCCAAGATTTGACGGTACATGGCCCCGTCCATCGTCCCTTTGATGTGGTGAAGTTGTCCTGTCCCCTTAGCAGAAAAACACCCCCAAAGCATAATGTTTCCACCTCCATGTTTGACAGTGGGGATGGTGTTCTTGGGGTCATAGGCAGCATTCCTCCTCCTCCAAACACAGCGAGTTGAGTTGATGCCAAAGAGCTCAATTTTGGTCTCATCTGACCACAACACTTTCACCCAGTTCTCCTCTGAATCATTCAGATGTTCATTGGCAAACTTCAGACAGGCCTGTATATGTGCTTTCTTGAGCAGGGGGACCTTGCGGGCACTGCAGCATTTCAGTCCTTCATGGCGTAGTGTGTTACCAATTGTTTTCTTGGTGACTATGGTCCCAGCTGCCTTGAGATCATTGACAAGATCCTCCCGTGTAGTTCTGGGCTGATTCCTCACCGTTCTCATGATCATTGCAACTCCACGAGGTGAGATCTTGCATGGAACCCCAGGCCGAGGGAGATTGACAGTTATTTTGTGTTTCTTCCATTTGCGAATAATCGCACCAACTGTTGTCAACTTCTCACCAAGCTGCGTGGTGATGGTCTTGTAGCCCATTCCAGCCTTGTGTAGGTCTACAATCTTGTCCCTGACATCCTTGGAGAGCTCTTTGGTCTTGGCCATGGTGGAGAGTTTGGAATCTAATTGATTGATTGCTTCTGTGGACAGGTGTCTTTTATACAGGTAACAAACTGAGATTAGGAGCACTCCCTTTAAGAGTGTGCTCCTAATCTCTGCTCGTTACCTCTATAAAAGACACCTGGGAGCCAGAAATCTTTCTGATTGAGAGGGGGTCAAATACTTATTTCCCTCATCAAAATGCAAATCAATTTATAATATTTTTGACATGCGTTTTTTTCTGGATTTATTCTGTCTCTCACTGTTCAAATAAACCTACCATTAAAATTATAGACTGATAATTTTTTTGTCAGTGGGCAAACATACAAAATCAGCAGGGGATCAAATACTTTTTTCCCTCATTAAAGTTTATTTGGATGTATTAGAGCATTGGGGAAAAAATAGTAATTGTAGTTGCCCCCTTACACTCAATAACTGGTTGTGCCACCTTTAGCTGCAATGACTGCAAGCAAATGCTTCCAGTAGTTGTTGATCAGTCTGTCACTTCGCTGTGGAGGAATTTTGTCCCAATCTTGCATGCAGAACTGCTTTAGCTCAGCGACTTTTGTGGGTTTTCAAGCATGAACTGCTTGTTTCAAGTCCTGCCACAACATTTGGGATTAGGTCTGGACTTTGACAAGGCCATTCCAAAACATCAAATTTGTTGCTTTTTAACCATTTTCATGTAGACTTGATTGTGTGTTTTGAATTATTGTCTTGCTGCATGACCCAGCTGCGCTTCAGCTTCAGCTCACAGACGAACGGCCTGACATTCCCCTGCAGAATTCTCTGATACAGAGCAGAAATCATGGTTCCTTCTATTAAGGTAAGTCGTCCAGGTCCTGAGGCAGCAACGCATCCCCAAACCATTACACTACCACCACCATGCTTGTCCGTTGGTATGAGGTTCTTACTGTGGAATTTAGTGTTTGGTTTTTGCCAGACATAATGGGACCCATCTCGTCCAAGAAGTTTACTAAAGTTTGTCAAAAAGCACCTGGATGATCATCAAGATGCTTGGAAGAATATTCTAGGGACAGATGAGCCAAAAGTCTAACTTTTGGACTACATGGGTCCCAGTTCATGCTGATCATGCTGATCTGAAAACATTCAGTATCGGAAATATGCAAAATTAGAGAAAAATAGAAAGGGGGCAAATCGTTTTTCACAGCCCTGTATTGAAGTTTATAATATGAAGATTCCAATAAAACGATATTCATAGTGAGAATTCCTCCTAAGAGTTTAAAGGTTAAAGGGATAGTTCACCCAAATTCCAAATTAACTTTATCTTAATGATTGCTATAGAAAGTAGTAAATTGCCTTTAAAAAGCAAAATTATCAACATAGCAATTCTCTTGTCGACAGTGCGCGTATGATTGAATCATGGCCTATATTTTGGTGGAATACTGTGTGTTACAATTACATTGTTTACAAACAATGGAGTAAAATGAACTTACTGTATGTTTTGTGTTATTGATTGGGAACCACAGATTAACCTTTTACTGCAGTAGGCTAAATCGGGGTCACGCAGAGTGTTTCTTGGTAGTCTTTAACAAATCAATTCTGAAACAAAAGTATACACCTCACACATCTGGTTATGGGCTTTTAAAAAAGAAGACCATGTCACATATAGAGTTGAAATGTAATCAATTTTGAGTTTACATACTAATATTACACTTTATATACAGCACAGAAGACTGAAATATAACAAAACTGTTTGACATAGAAACACCGGATTTTCTTAATTTAAAAAAATCGAATGTTGAAAGATTATTATAGCATTTCACTCATGAGGCCACTAGAGTGCGCTTTGGTCATTCAACCGCAGGAAACTGAGCTCCTGAGGCATTTATGACTTATACTCAGGACCGGTTCCAGGCAAAGCGACATAAATGGTCGCTTAAGGCCCCGGCCGCTAGGGGGCCCCCGACCCCAAAAATTATAATTGTTTTTATTTATTTTTCTTTTTGGGTGTAACTCAGTCAGGGTCTCAAATTGCTATTGAGAACAAGAGTAATAATATGCCATTTAGCAGACGCTTTTATCCAAAGCGACTTACAGTCATGCGTGCATACATTTTTGTGTATGGGTGGTCCCGGGGATCGAACCCACTACCTTGGCGTTACAAGCGCCGTGCTCTACCAGCTGAGCTACAGAGGACCAAGAGAAGTAGAATACACCAGTTGCAATCTAAAAATGTGGCTTGCATCAGCAGTTTTTCTATTATTATGTCAGTCCCTGACAGTCACTCAATTAGCCATTCCATTTGACTGACCCTGAGTATAGCCATGTCAGAAAAACATTGTTTAACTTGTAGTAATCATGGACGAATACCAACGGGGAACGCAGGGCACAGGGCCCCTATTGATTTTGTTATTCATTCTCACACAGATATCATAATAACATGGCATTAGTCATTACAAAATGTGTAGAATTGCAGGAATTAGCTTTAAAACTGCAAACATTTCTCTCCACCCCATGGCAAAAAGAGTAGAATTGCAGGAAATTAAGTGTAAAACTGCTAAGTTTTCTCTCCCCATGGCGAAATATGTAGAATTGCAGGAAATGCATTTTATTTATCTCTGCCGTCAAGAGGGGCCACTCAAAGGTTTTGCTGATAGGTGGGGGGCCCCCAACCACATCTCGCTTAGGGCCCCAAAAAGGCTAGAGCAGGCCCTGGTTATAATCTTCAAGAATCAATGGTTATATAGATAATTGTAAAATCCCCCCCCCCCCCCCCCCCAAAAAAAGGCCCCCAAAAGGCTAGAGCAGGCCCTGGTTATACTCTTCAAGAATCAATGGTTATATAGATAATTTTAAAAGTCAAGAAATGGGTGTACCAATCACAGACTGTAGCTTTTAGCTGTTGTAATTACATTATTGTCACAAATGTAGACATTCCACTTGCAATCAACACTCCCTTGATGCCATACAGAACAAAATATTTCACACCATACATGAATATGTACTCAATGCTGCAGGCATGTAAGAAGAACCTTCAAAAGTATATATATATATATTTTTATATGACCTTGGGGGAAATAATCAGTAAACTGAAATGATGTTACATAATTTATTTGTCATTAGTATTAAATCTCCAGTATTAAAGGTGGATGTTGAACTGCACAGGATGTGGTAGAGTTGTGGGACCGTGCTGGAGGATCGAAGCTAGGATCAGACTTAGTAGGTGGCCATGGTGCTGGTCAGCCAGTCGTTGAAGATGCACACCTGGAGGAAGAGAAGGAGAAGGGAGACATTAGTGGACACACTCAATGGGAGGCAACATGAGAACCATAAATCTATGTTTTACAGGTTTATTTTGGGAAACCAAGTGATGTCACAGTGATGTATGTATGTTGATGTTTTCCTCAAACACAACAGGAAAACTATTTTTCTGTCTTACCTTGGCGTAGACACCGGGGTTACCGGGCTCGGTTACATTTGTAACCCCAGGACACAACACCCTGGAGCTCACCGTTGCACACCACGGGGCCACCAGAGTCACCCTAAGAGAGAAAGAGAGAAAGTTATATACAATTATTTAAAGTGGTCCTCTGTAGCTCAGCTGGTAGCGCATGGCGCTTGTAACGCCAAGGTAGTGGGTTCGATCCCCGGGACCACCCATACACAAAAAAAATGTATGCACGCATGACTGTAAGTCGCTTTGGATAAAAGCGTCTGCTAAATGGAATATTTTTTTAAAATTTTTGTTTTTAATCAATTGAACTGAAAAAGTCAATTTAAAGTCATGATTGTAGTGCCACTGATGGGAGGTCAGAGTGGTAAGTACCTGGCAAGAGTCCTTGCCTCCCTCTAGGTATCCAGCGCAGAACATGGCGTTTGTGATCATTCCAGGGTAGGAGTTGTTACAGTCACTGTAGGACAGGATGGGGATGTTCAGGCACTGAAGCTTGTTCTTGTCAGCGGCTGTAAGGAGAAGGAGAAAGAGGGAGGGAGGGAGAGAGGGAGGGAGGGAGTTATGGTTAGAAATAATGAAGTTGAGTTTTTAATAGTAGACCTACATTTTCCATGCCTCTACACACTCGGCCACCATGAAGATAACCAACTGGCACATGTAACCTTTGACCCAGGTTCTGTACTCACTGGAGCTCATGGTGTTGCCCCATCCAGAAACGGTGCACTTGGTGCCAGCGGGGGCACAGCTGCTGGGCAGAGCAACAGGCTGCACGTAGGTGTTGAGGGTGGCGGGCTTGCTCAGCTTGATTAGCATGATGTCATTGTCGATGTTGTAGGAGCTGTAGTTGGGGTGACGGATCACACGGGAAGAAGAGATGAACTGCTCGCTACCCTCAGTCACCTTGATGTTGTGCTCGCCCAGACGCACCTCCACACGGCTGACAGAGCGAGAGAAAGTTCCATTTGTACGTTTCTTACTTTCACAGTTCATGTGAATATGGAGTTCACCTTTGTGTCATTTAGTTTTGCCAAAGTTAAGCATATCAAATTGTTGCTAGTTGTTATTGACTCAATATGTTGCTAGTAGTTCATATGGTAGGCTACTTACAATTGGTAGCAGTGAGCAGCAGACACAACCCAGTTCTCGTTGACCAGGGAGCCACCACAGAAGTGGTACCCAACGTTCAGAGACACCTGGTGGGGCTGGGAGTAGGCCTTGCACTCATACCCACCGATGATCTTGTCGTCCTACGTGGCGACTGTAAACAGAGAGCAGGCACATTCTTAGCTATATTACCTCTCTCTTTTGAGATGGAAAAGCATAGCACTATGTTAAAACAACAACAACAACATATTTCTTAATAACGTCAAAGAAACAAATGTGTGATGTTAGTGTCATAACACAGTCCTGTTCTTTTTCAATGATCATTACTAGACTCACAAGCGGCTCCAATGAGCAGAACAAAGACCAGATAAATCATGGTTGCTGTATGATCCTGTCGATGAAAGGGGTTCATCTGCACCCCTGGTTTATAAACAGAATCGGCTGTGCCACTGTTTGACTGTTCAAAAGAAAGCCAATCAGAGCCAAAAGTTGCACTGCCAAGGTCAGCATTATGACACAGCAGTTTCCATCATGGAGTGGTATGAAGTTGACCCTAAAGGCAGCAAGAAGCTTAATATACGTTTTAAATAGTCCCAGTACTTTTTAAGTGCAGGTTCTTGCCGTCTGGATTTGATTGAATGTCTTACAGAAGAAAGTGATACATATACAGTACGCTACAACTGCCAGTTTGAGATGACCAGTGTTCTCTGCAGTTCAGAATGTATCTTGACCTCAACAGGACTGCAACACAGCTGTGTGGTTCACACGTTGGTATTATCTTGGAGAAGTCGACAAACACAGCTTTGCAGCTCAGATGGCCTATTTTAGCTATGTAAACAAGCAAACTGGGTTTAAAGAGTTTTGATGGAAAGTCATACAAGGCTCTGGTAAAAAATAATAACTCTATACCTTATATGTCCTTATATTGCTATTAGTTCAAGATGTATAATCATAAGTTCCTCCCAAAAAATGTTTATACTGTATGCAGTTTATATACAGTAAAACACTTAAAGTAAGCACACGCTTGGGTAGTGTAATTTATTATATTAGGTATTAATACACGATTTAAACAAACAGTTGTTCCTTGACAGCAGATTAAAGTGTACACCCCGGCTCAACCCTAACCTTACCCATAACCTTAGCCTCAACCCTAACCTTACCTTCATGTCCATGTCCCTGCTCAACCCTAACCCTCAACCCTAACCTTACCTTCATGCCCACATCCCTGCTCAACCCTAACCCTAGCCTCAACGCAAACCCACATCCCTAGCTTCTTGTCCACTTCCCTGCTCAACCCAAACCCTACCCCTCATCTCTATCCCTAACCCTAACTTCATGTCCTCATCCCAGCTCAAACCTTAACCCTAACTTCATGTCCACATCCCAGCTCAACCCTTAACCCTAACTTCATGTCCACATCCCAGCTCAACCCTTAACCCTAACTTCATGTCCTCATCCCAGCTCAACCCTTAACCATAACTTAATGTCCACATCCCAGCTCAACCCTTAACCCTAACTTCATGTCCTCATCCCAGCTCAAACCTTAACCCTAACTTCATGTCCACATCCCAGCTCAACCCTTAACCCTAACTTCATGTCCTCATCCTAGCTCAACCCTAACCCTTAACCCTAACTTCATGTCCACATCCCAGCTCAACCCTTAACCCTAACTTCATGTCCACATCCCAGCTCAACCCTTAACCCTAACTTCATGTCCACATCCCAGCTCGACCCAACCCTTAACCATAACTTCATGTCCACATCCCAGCTCAACCCTTAACACTAACTTCATGTCCACATCCCAGCTCAACCCTTAACCCTAACTTCATGTCCACATCCCAGCTCAACCCTTAACCCTAACTTCATGTCCTCATCCTAGCTCAACCCTAACCCTTAACCCTAACTTCATGTCCACATCCCAGCTCAACCCTTAACCCTAACTTCATGTCCACATCCCAGCTCAACCCTTAACCCTAACTTCATGTCCACATCCCAGCTCGACCCAACCCTTGACCCTAACTTCATGTCCACATCCCAGCTCCACCCTAACCCTTAACCCTAACTTCATGTCAAAATCCCAGCTCCACCCTAACCCTTAACCCTAACTTAAAGTCCACATCCCAGCTCCACCCTAACCCTTAACCCTAACTACATGTCCACATCCCAGCTCAACCCAAACCCTTAACCCTAACTTCATGTCCAGATTCCAGCTCAACCAAATCCTTAACCATAACTTCATGTCCACATCCCAGCTCAACCCTAATACTAGCCTTAACCCTAGCTTCATGTCCACATCCCAGCTCAACTCTAACCCTAGCCTAATGTAAATACAATGTAACAATGAGTAAATAAGAGACTTGCTCATTCTAAAGTATAACTCAGTAATAACAGTAATAGCAACACTGTAACGTCCTCCCAAGCCTTTAATCAGAGGTATGTGTTGTATGGGGATGTACAGTAGCCAAGACTCGCTTAATTATGGGGCTGTCTGTGGTGATAATGAAAGCATTTTCACAGCTCCTTTCTCAGGTATGTTTCCATAATGATAAAACCAAGATTAGCATTTCTAAACATCAATAATGGAAAAGAACAGTAGGGGAGACTTTCAAGTGACGATAACTCTCAAACCTCTCTTTTTTATTAATAAAAAACGCATCAACTCAAATCTACCAGTTTACCAAACTAAAAATATTGTTAATCCAATTCAAATTAATCAATCAGTTTACCCAACTCAAAATAATGTGTCCAAAAAATAAATAAATAAATTGGCCCAACTCATAGTATTACATGTATCTAAATTAAAATAATAAGTTTACCGATCTATTTTCTAAATGTTCTTGTTGAGATGAGATATTGAGTTAAGTAACAATAATACAATAATATTACATTTATCCATTTAAGTTGACCTAGCTCAAAAATAATAAATGTATCCAACTCAAAATAATGTTTATCTAACTCAAAATAAAAAGTTTACTCAAATTAAACCAATCAATCAGTTGACCAAACTCAATACAAACACTTTACTGACTCTTAATAATATGTTTACCAACTTAAATTAATCAATCAGTGTACCCAACTCAAAATAACAACTTTATCTATCTCAAAACAATACATGTTATCCAACTCAAAATATCACAAATATTCTCTCAAACGTAACCCTAGCCTCAACACTAACAGTAACCGTAACCCCTGCTTTATGTTCAACCCAGGGGTGCGTTAAGTATGACAGAATGGTGTGCAACGTTGAATTCAGCGGAAATGGTACTGTACTGAACAACCAGTTGAAAAACGTTGGAATTTCGGTGGCCCAGATTACCGTATGATGTGTGCTGCACGAGTTCTGCGATTACAAATGGTCACACCCATATTGATCAGGCCACACCTCACCACACCCACCAAATGGGAGCAAAATGGGAGCAAAAGGCTGTTAAAGAACGATACTCACCGGTTTGGGGAAATGTATCGTTCAGTACAAACAGACATGCAACGTAGCAAACATTGAAGCGAACTGAACACACCCCTGGCTCACTTCTAACCATAGGATTTGGTCAGATTCCTTATGTTGTTACCATATACTGTATGTAACATGTACCAGTAGCCAAAATGATTTTGTCTCATTACACAACAGTACGTGTTCAATAGCATACTGTAGCAGCAATATAAAAGTGCTGTATACAGAAGACTCACCTAATATAGAGTACATTTTGATTTATTATAGCAATGGAGAAAATACATAGCAGTTTTGTAACCCCCTGTAAAGACTGGGTTTAGTTTATTATGTGTGGCACAACTCTTGGCTTTTAGGTATATATACAACATAACAGCATGTTGTATACAGTTGAAGTCGGAAGTTTACATACACTTAGGTTGGAGTCATTAAAATTCGTTTTTCAACCACTCCACACATTTCTTGTTAACAAACTATCATTTTGGCAAGTCGGTTAGGACATCTACTTTGTGCATGACACAAGTACTTTTTCCAACAGTTGTTTACAGACAGATTAATTCACTTATAATTCACTGTATCACAATTCCAGTGGGTCAGAAGTTTACATACACTAAGTTGACTGTGCCTTTAAACAGCTTGGAAAATCCCAGAAAATGATGTAATGGTGTTAGAAGCTTCTGATAGGCTAATTTACATTATTTGAGTCAATTGGAGGTGTACCTGTGGATGTATTTCAAGGCCTACATTTAAACTCAGTGCCTCTTTGCTTGACATCATGTGAAAAGCAAAAGAAATCAGCCAAGACCTCAGAAAGAAAATTGTAGACCTCCACAAGTCTGGTTCATCCTTGGGAGAAATTTCCAAATGCCTGAAGGTATCACGTTCATCTGTACAAACAATAGTAGGCAAGTATAAACACCATGGGACCACGTAGCCGTCATAAAGCTCAGGAAGGAGACGCATTCTGTCTCCTAGAGATGAACGTACTTTGGTGCGAAAAGTGCAAATCAATCCCAGAACAACAGCAAAGGACCTTGTGAAGATGCTGGAGGAAACAGGTACAAAAGTATCTATGTCCACAGTAAAACGAGTCCTATATCGACATAACATGAAAGGCCGCTCAGCAAGGAAGAAGCCACTGCTCCAAAACCGCCATAAAAAAGCCAGACTACGGGTTGCAACTGCAAATGGGGACAAAGATCTTACTTTTTGAGAAATGTCCTCTGGTCTGATGAAACAAAAATAGAACTGTTTGGTCATAATGACCATTGTTATGTTTGGAGGAAAAAGGGGTAGGCTTGCAAGCCGAAGAACACCATCCCAACCGTGAAGCATGGGGGTGGCAGCATCATGCTGTGGGGGTGCTTTGCTGCAGGAGGGACTGGTGCACTTCACAAAATAGATGGCATCATGAGGAAGGAAAATTATGTGGATATAATGAAGCAACATCTCAAGACATCAGTCAGGAAGTTAAAGCTTGGTCGCAAATGGGTCTTCCAAATGGACAATGACCACAAGCATACTTCCAAAGTTGTGGCAATCACAAAGCCCTGACCTCAATCCTATAGAAAATGTGTGGGCAGAACTGAAAAAGCGTGTGCGAGCAAGGAGGCCTACAAACCTGACCAGCTCTGTCAGGAGGAATGGGCCAAAATTCACCTAAATTATTGTGGAAAGCTTGTGGAATGCTACCCGAAACATTTGACCCAAGTTAAACAATTTAAAGGCAATGCTACCACATACTCATTGAGTTTATGTAAACTTCTGACCCACTGGGAATGTGATGAAAGAAATTAAAGCTGAAATAAATCATTCTCTCTACTATTATTCTGACATTTCACATTCTTAAAATAAAGTGGTGATCCTAACTGACCTAAGGCAAATACTTTTTACTAGGATTAAATGTCAGGAATTGTGAAAAACTGAGTTTAAATGTATTTGGCTAAGGTGTATGTAAACTTCCTAGTTTCAGGGATCTAGTTTGGGAAAGTAGTTGCATTACGTTTTCCCGCAGTTTCACCTTGAGCTATCGTGATGCGTGTGATGGAAAGGAGTCAGGCGCAGGAGGGTAATCACCAAATACAGAGTTTATTCCGTCTTGACACACAAATGCTCTCAAATAGCGATCAATGAAACAGGCCCAGGGGAAACTAACATCCCTGGCAATTACACTTTAACGGATAGAATCCAATAATACATAGGCACAGGGGAAAATCTACCCTGGCAACAAAATGTACGAGTATCTCCACCGAGCTATACTACTCTCACAAATAACAATCACCCACAAGGACAAGGGGGCAGAGGGAACACTTATACACGGACTAATGAGGGGATAGAACCAGGTGGGTGTGATTGACAAGACAAGACAAATGTGATGATGATTGGGGCGGCAGTGGTTAGTAAGCCGGTGACGACGAACGCCGAAGCCTGCCCGAACAAGGAGGGGAGGCAGCCTCGGCCGAAGTCATGACAGCCATATTTGATATATGGTTGGACAATGGCAATACTGTTGATTTCTTATGTGTCTTATTCGATTCCTTTTCTCATTTTGAGGTTTTAATATTATACCTGTTTACAATTCATCTCAGGGTTTAATTAGGTCCAGTATGATTCTGTGGTCCTCTGTGGTTCATTGTCCTTTGTGATAATTGCTATGTCCTAAAATATTTTACTTTTACATTCTAATCTATTTTTGACCATTATCTTTAGTTTGAATAAATTCCCCTAACGTGGAAGAAAAAGGTCATTGTGTTTGTCATTGTGTGGG